GGGGGGGGGTGGAGGAACAAGACGTGGGTACCGCTCATGACCACGGCTTTGGGAGTATTTTATTCGCGGGATGGTCAACCAGCGTTGTGTTTAACGGCTTCATCTGAAGAATCGGTGTCTCATTACAAGTCCATTTCGTCGACATTATCGATAGACTACGCCACAGCGAAGGACACCTTGCAAGCGGTATCACGTGCGCGACATTCGCACCATCACCTAATTGACGTAAAGTCAGACGCTCCAGTATGTAGAACTAGCTGGAAATACTGGATATTTCATGAGCGTCGCCTAAATGAGAAGTAACGTCCCACACCTCTTTCACTGTTTTCCAATGTTTTTGTTTTTCGAATGTTTTTCACTTCAACATTGAATTTTAATGTAGTTTTTGATACAGGACACTGTGATAATGATTTTGTATACCGTTTCAGAAAAACTCGTCGTCAAAAACGTCAAAAACTACATTAAAATTCAATGTCAAAGTGAAAAAGAGGAGCTAAGAATCAGGTAGAAATGAGAAACAGTGAAAAAGGGTTGAATACCGGAAGAAAGAACATAAAGGGAAGCTGGAGTCTGGTACAATTGGAGTGTAATTGTAGCGTGTTCAAGGGCAGCAGCGCGCGTTGAAGCGCGACAATCGACGCGCGTTGAGGCGCGACAAGTCTGAACGCTGCCTACTGCGACGAGCTAGTGGTCGTGGTGCCCTCTGACTAAATGAGGGTCTATGTGTCGGGTACAGCCGGTTTTAACAAACGACTGCCTTATAAACGTCAGTAGAACAAAAGCTGTGCTACGGAGACCCGTAAGGCGAATAGCTTAAATGCATCTTTCGCAATGTCAGGCAGGGCAAGCCATGGCACATCATTGGTTGGGGATTTTAGTCGAGTCTGTACGACCCCCCTTTTTTGGAGGTTGGTACGACCCCCTCCCTCCGGCCCTCTGTTCCTCCTCATCGAATCGAGCCGTCGAGCGGGAGAGGGGGAGGGGGGTAAATAGCACATGTGAAACAGGAAAAGCCGCGAGACAATACGACCCCCTCTTCTACCAATTCTCAGATTTTCCCCAACTTCCTGCCACTTTTTCCAAAATTTCCCGAAAACTTCCCTACTTTTCCCCAAAAATTTTGCTGTCGAGCGGGGGGGGGCATATAGTACGCATGAAACAGGAAAATCACAAAAGTCAACCACCACTCCTACAACGCCAAAACGTAAATACGACCCCTCCCCCCTTCCCAACAATGACCAAGTACGACCTCCCCCCAACGTCCGTGAAGCGAGAAAAATCAAACATCAGAATAAATTTTCCCCAGCCCAAATACGACCCCCTGTCCTGGCGGCCAAATACGACCCCCCTTATCGGGAATTCCCCAACAACGATGTGCCCTGGGGCAGGCACATAGGCGGGGTTTCATAGCCGTTGCTTCCATCTCACTGGCGCGTCCATTTTTTTTGTGGGATGAGATGGGAGTAACAAGCAGGAAATCGCAATGGTTGTGGGTCCCGCCCACATAATATTATCGCGGACCTGTATTTCAAAAAGTTGTTGAGTTAGTAGAAACGCTGATTAGCATTCCGCGTTCCTGCTCAGACCATGCTTCCTGCACTACTGTATCAACTGGTGTTCTGTCAGCCTCTAGCAACAAACCTAGGGCTATGGTTGTTGCTGTGTTTGATTCTGGTTGCGCTTATCTCAATCACTCCACCAGGTATTCAGTTAAAACCCTTCGTTTTCGCAAAATTTTCCATATGTGAGAGAGAAATATGCTTTTATCGTAGAATTAGTTTTAGATAGCCGAGGTTTCTCTCAAGTATGGGTGTTGACATCGATTGCTCTAGAACAGCAACCAGTAGCGCGAAGAAAATCATAGGTGCAGTTAGTCCTTATATCATTTCAATGGTTAATTTATTCGCTATAAAAATAAACTAGGTGATATTCCGCTACTGCTTCATTGTTGGAAATAGTCGCAGAATATGCCTCGGCCTCTCTGGAACCTACCCAACAATTCCAGCTTGACGAAAGCAGTGCAGCTGCTGATAACTTGCTGACCTTAATTTACTCAGTCTACTTTTTCTTGGGTTCCGGAGTGCTTTGGAATGGAACTACAATTTTCGAACTGAGTACGACATGCTTGAGGGCACGGTCCTTACGCTGTGGGTGGGTCTCGCACACCGGAGCGGCTCCACCCTAGCCAGATGTTTTCTTCTTTGCCGACTTTTTTTGTTCAAACACAGAGGTTAGTGACTTGCGAGGGAACATGGTCGTCCCCGCACGTTTCGATCGTATCTCTCGATCTCGTCCCTGTCCATTTGCTGAGCTTACCTCCACATTTTCCCCATCATTGTGACTGCTCTGAGATGCGGAATTTCGAGTTATTTTGTCTGTGACCATGCGCACTTTCGGTGCATATCCCGCCCACTGTGTGGGCTTCTTAGCATGATTACGTGTATAGTGTCAGCATCTGGATGTGTCCTACACGCATCCGTCTCAATCTTGACGCAACCCGTCCAAGTTGCTCTTCATGTAGAACTGAATTTCCGAACAGGAAAACAAGCATACAAACAAACAAACAAACAAACAAGACCTACTAGTCATGTGCAGTAGGAATCACTGATAGATGTACAAATGTAGAGCCTCGTCCTGCCACAACCAAATTTCCAACTTCTAAAAGACGTCATGTCAAGATTCTTGGAAAATTTTTTTCTACATTACTTATAAAGAAACTTTGTAGCACTTGTAAACCCGTCGATGCCAAAAACCTACGGCGATACCGTGATTCACATCTCGCAAATTGACTCTTTAGTCGAAGTGAACGATCGTGAAATCTATGCAAAGCCCGATCGAGGAAAACCCAGCGAGGTCAGGATAAAGGGATTCTTGATTTCTATGATGACTAACTACATTTTAGGTGGAACAAGCGATCGGGAAGCTCATTGCCGAGAATCTTGTTGAGGACGAAGCCACACTGCAGTTGGGTGAGACCAGATATATCGCATAAATAGATGATTTCAAATGTTTGCTTCAGGAATAGGAGCGATACCTGACTCGACATTGGCTGCTATGAGAAACCACAAAAATCTCGGAGTCCATACTGAGGCAGTCAGCGATGGAGTATTGGAACTAATAGATGCCGGAGTAATAACTGGCGCTAAGAAATCCGTCATGCCCGGGAAGGTTGTGGAAGTCATTCCACTTTCATTTTTTCTTCGCCTCATCATCCCATCTTCAGATAGTGACCAGTTATGGATATGGTTCGCGGAAGTTTTACAATGCTGTCGATAACAACCCTCTCTTTCGTGAGTTCCCAGAATTTCCTTAAGCATAAGTCTTTAACGTCAGTCTTTTGATCCCGCGTAAACTCCCCATAAACCCAAAAACAGAGAATTTCAAAAGAAGCATTTGTTGCTGCGCTTGCCTTTGAACGGTTCTGCTACACTACTACAACATCCATTGGGTTTTCTTATACATGCTTAGGAAGATGAGTACAAATTAGCAGCATATTCTAGCCAGCTGACTCTTCAAGCTGTAGCACTGCCATGTTGGATCAGTTTGGTTCTGGTGCGAATACCGAGCGTGGTATTCCGCTGGAAACGTCCTCTTCTGCCACCATGCCGTAACGTGCCAGTGAAGATATACACGAGCAGTCAGACCTTTACCTTTCCGCTGTAGCATTCATAGTAAAACGGGGTAACTAATCCTATGCTTTAGCACGAAAGCCACTAACAAGGGAATGGTTTGAACTTCCCATGGAACTTTGAATGGAGACCTAGGTACATCGATAGAGTCTCGAATGCTGATTACGAATATGCAGATTAAAAGTGCTACGGGGACCTCCCAGACGAGTTCTGGGCGGTCAAAGTTTGCGAAAACTCTGGCTCGTAAGCGCTGCTGATCGATCATTGGCAGTGCCACCGTGGCCTAGTGGTAATGGTCTCGCTTCAAAGCCAAATGCTTGTGGGTTTGCATCCCGTTGGCGCGAAAATTTTTGCTTCGTCTCCTATAAGAGCTTTCACTCTAATTTTCGAAATTCTTCCGAGTTTACGGCCCAGCAGCAAGTATATCATGTATATGACGCAGTCGATCGAGTATTGATTGATCACTATCTGTCCTCTCTGAACTCAGTTAGGCCATCAACAACTCGAAGTTTTGGCCAGGTTAAGTCGTAAGTGTGTGGTTGCGGCCAGAAACTCGTTTCTGGGGGTATTTTGACCCCCTGAGCACGAATATCGCATCCGTTTGACGCGAAAACCGATTGGTTCCCTCGTTCAGTTGATGACAACAACTGAAAGGCTACAAGCGTTTTCTCGCCAAAAGAATATGATATTCGTTTTCAGGGGGTCAAAATACCTCCAGATCGAATTTCGGGGGGGCGACGTTGTGATTTCTGGCCAGAACTTCGAATTGTCCGTATGGATAATGAGTTCAAGAGAGAAGATCATCAACCTTCGAGCTGCGTCATATTTTACTGATTACACCTGGCTGCTGCGGCCTAACCGGATAAGAATTTCAAAACTTGGAGTGAAAATTCGTAGAGGAGGCGAAGTCAAAAATTTTCGCATCAACGGTATGCAACCCACAAGCACATTTGGCTTTGAGCGGACCATGTACCTCTAGGCTGGCGAGGCCATGCCGGAGATCGATCAGCAGCTCTCTACGAGACAAACGGAGTTTTAAACTTTGACCATCCAGATCTCGTCTGGGAGGTCCCCGTAGCACTTTTAATCTGCATATTCGTAATCAGCATTCGAGGCTCTATCGATGTACCTAGGTCTCCATTCAAAGTTCCATGGGAAGTTCAAACCATTCCCTTGTAAGCTGAGAATGGAAGAGCAGCTCTGATGGCGGAACAATAGCGCATTCTCCCAAACATCTTAGCGGTGGGTCGAGTTCCGCCCAGAGTCAGGATTTCCGCCCAAACACAGCATTCGCGCAAATAGTGAACCAAGTTTTGCTTACTAAGTCATGCTCATGCAGCAGCGTGATGAGTACTCTTCATTACGGCTCATATTGTATGCGTCGCGAGCGCCACACATTTTACAATGCCGCTTTCGTGGCGCCACCGAAACTCCGGTCTCCTGAGCGGCACCTAAAACAGTTTGGAAATTTCCGGAAATCCCCAAGGATGCTGCCTAAGTGTGCCACAGATGCAAAACTCTCTCTAACTGTAAGAACTACACGACCACTTGTGCTCTTCCCTCCCGTTGCCGAAATTTATAAGTTCACTTGTTACCGACATTACTTTGCTGCGGGTGTGTAGCTTACTTCCGAGTTGGGACATGGCGCCTTGTCGTCTGGTCGACCAGATGACACAGGCACAGAGAGCGAGTCTTTTTGAGACCCACACGCGGAGAGAGCTGAGAGGGTGGACGCGCCGCAGCACTGCTACATTGAGTGGATTGAGTCCTGGAGTGAACGCTGCGCACACCACCTTGCTTGCAATGCCTAGTTCGCCGCGACTCGGAAGTAACGCTACACACCCCTTCGCTGCTACAGATTTACATTTCGTCCACAGATTTCGACAGTTGTGAATGGACAAATCGACCTGAAGTCATTCGAGCAAATTCTAAGATGACTTGTATAAATGCGTGTATTGAAATTGATCTCACTGGACAAGTTGCATCTGATTCCATTGGTAGTACCTTCTATTCGGGTGAGTTCGCTTGCATAAGCTTTGACAAGTACACCAAGAATGCTCGTTTTAGGGTTCGGTGGCCAAGTGGACTTTATCTCATCCGGGTCTACCACATATGATGGCAAAGGAAAGGCAATCATCGCTATGCCTTCTCGAACATCTAAAGGAAAATCAAAAATCGTTGCCAGTCTATCTCAGGTGGGTCCGAATTGCCTCTTGGCTACGAACCGTTAGCCGGAGATCTTTCTCCGAAGCAGGGCACATCGTTGTTGGGGAATCCCCAACAGGGGGGTCGTATTTGGCCGCCAGGAGAGGGGGTCGTATTTGGGCTGAGGAAAAATTTATTTTGATAGTTGATTTTTCTCGCTTCACGGACGTTGTAAGGGGGGTCGTACTGTTTTACTTGTTGGGGGG